GTTGCTTGTTTATTTGTCTGTTTATCTGCTAGCAGTGTTTTACTTTCCCTCTTCAAAAACAACAACAAAAGAAACGAAGAATGACCGAGGTAAGAGCCTCGGTTCGCCTGCTACTAGTTATGGTCCTGTTGACAATGGCTTTCTTCAGTATCCAAAACCAGACATTTTTCTTGCTTCACGAGAAGACCTTGAAATCGATCCATTATCAACACCTCTGCTCTATAATGTCATGCGTGACAAATTATTCCTTAATTTTGACGCGAAATTTCGGCTTTAATTTACAATTTCGCAAGTGAAATGTTGACAAAACGGGCGTGAAATTATTTCTTAATTTCACTTGTCACCATTTGTACCCACAACTAATAGTACCTCCATGTCATCAATGACTTTAAATGTCTGGACATTTGGCAATTTACAGGTAGTCATATGCGGACTGGAATAACGGATGTACAACAGACGTTTAGAGTGAAGACTCTTCACAAGCACAGTGGCTTTACCATGCAGAACCTTAAGCACGATATTGCAGTTCTTCAGTTAGAGGGCAGTGCACAGTTAAGCGACAAAGTGACTACAGTATGTTTACCAGAGCAAGATGCAGATCTAAAGTCAAAGTGCTACATAACAGGTTTACTTTATCTTTTTAATGGGCCTCTCCTTTAACTGGGCCGCTGTTACATATTCCAAAACTAAATAATTGAATGAAAAAATTTTGATTTTGTTCCCTTTATCAAACAGCCATATCATGTTACATTTACTTGATAGTCTATGCGTACTTCCTTGGACAAATTGCGTTCAACATTTTGAGTTCTTGCAATGTCTTAATAATTTTCTGGCCGTTGATTCTCGTAGGATGGGGCCGTACCCATTTTGGTATAGCTGCAAATACTCTGCAACAGGCAAAGTTACCTCTCGTGTCACACAATGACTGTAGAAAGATCTGGCGTACCATTGACAGGAGCGCTCACTTGTGTGCCGGAGAGGGGCGAGCAGGTGCTTCAGGGGGATGCAATGGAGACAGTGGTGGCCCTCTTGTTTGCGAGATGGGAAGTAGATGGTATCTGCATGGTGCTGTCAGTTTTGGGATGAAGGATTGTCCAACAACTCATTATACAGTTTTCACTAGAATAACAAGTTACATATCATGGATATTGCAGAAAATAGGTTGGTATTGAAAGACTTAGGTATTCCCCAACTCAGTCAAAACATAACTGTTTTAGTATAGATACAACCAATTCGTCCTAAGGAATAGTTTGTTTAAAAATAAACCACTATTATAATGTACTCATTCGTTTTCTATAGCAGAATTACCTTTTGAAGATCCATAGCTACCAAATTTAATTCTAGAAATGTTAGCTGCCGACGATATATGCTATCCCACACCCTTAAATTAACTAGACGGCGTGGCAAACAATACATATTCAAATTATATACGTAGAGAATAATTCTTAATAATGAGTCTTTCAGATGAAAGAGTTAAGTATTTTTGACTACTTCTACTTGAGTCGCGACTAAAATTGTATTACTGCGGCCTGCAGGAGATGGAGGTGAAGGACCTAACCCACCACTACCCTCACAAAAACCACGACCACCGATGGCTACGACACCACCACGCCCACCAAAACCCGGTGAGAAGAGATTCCTTGATTAACGAACTGCTTCACGCTCTTACTTGATGATAGTGTGCGATAACATTCTCAAACTAGTTCATGATGTTTTGAAAACGATTATAATAAACTTTATAATCAATAAGATGCATCAAACGCCTACCACGATAGCTGTTATTACAGTTATCAGCGGTTTGACCGTCGTACAAACGAGGCAAAAGGAGTCAATTCTGCTTTGTATTTAGCCGTTCGCCTCTTTTGTATGTCTTCCTAAACAAAGGAATATTTGACGCAGACTCAACTGTAATAACAGCTACGATTTGAACAATTTTGGGTAAAAACACTGTGAACTAAGGCAAAACTGAATTTCTCTTGTACTAACGTTACTCCACTGTAGTCAAAATGTACATTCTAACTGATATCATCCTCATTGCAGGCTGTGAAGACAGTTGGGGTAAAGAATATTGTTACAACCATCGTCACCGTTGCAGTTGGCCATTTGTCAAAAATTCTTGCCGAGCAACCTGCGGAGACTGTAAGTAATATTTAACCACTGGAACCAGCGACAATCGGTCCTCAAATCTTAGTTAGGAAAGAGAAATTCATATAAATGGAAAATCTACGTGTATCCCATAGGGAAATACGCAACATCGTCATGCACTGTATTCCGATCAGAAGTCACTTTGTTCTCAAAATTCATTATAACAGAATTAAATTTAACCTTAAACCTTCATAAATAATGTTATCTGACTGTGCAAAATTTGTGAAAACAATTTTCTGGATCTCTAACTTTTTACCAAGTTTTTGTTTTTTTATGTATAATTATATGCAATAATTAGGAATAATTTTATTTTAAGATTTTTAAATATTTTTTAGCCTTTTTTTATTTTAAATTTATTTGAAAATGACCTAGGGTCGAAAACGTTTAGTGTTTTTTGCTTTTTGACTTTTTTTAGCCTTGTAATAGGAATTACTTTTAAAATCAAAGCGAATATTATGGACAGTTCTACTTTAGTCATCATTTTTTCTAATATCACTGACATGAATCGTCAGTATCAAAATAAAGTATTTAAAGAATGCAAATGTTCCTTGATGCTTATTACTGTTTTTCCATTTCTTCACAGGTTGAGATTGAACAAGAACCCGGCAAAAGTCTGAGTTTTTAATGTATTAGTCATTACCGGATTTGTTCTGTTATGATTTCAATAGGATGTAGTAACTGGAATAAAACTGCTCAGAAATAACGCTTGCTTGTATGAATGAGACTGATAGCAATATTACAAGTGATGAAACAAACTACAGTTCGCGCGCCTTGTCGAAAAGTGGTGGATGCCAAAGGGCAGCTGACCGCTTAGAAATGGCTATGAAGCCCAGCAAACATCAAGCCAAGATTTTTGTTGTAAGGTCCACAACCGTGCACAATCTTTTGTTTTGCGCTCATACACTATGCA